AGCTGACAGAGGGAGCTCATCCACTCTCTCCCCGGATTCGAACTTCGACCTGTCGGTCTTCAGTTCTGCCGGCACAGTGTGCCACCAGGGGCTTCAACATCTATAGCTCTGAAAGAACTATATAACATCCTCAAATGTACAGATATATCATTAAGCAACACAGTTGGAATCATTCATGCTATAGTATTTCCAGTTTCTATGTATGGTCATAAAAGCTGGACAGTGAAGCAAGCTAACAGGAAGAAAATCAACATACTCAAAATGTGGTACTAGTTCTGCAGATACTTCAGACTTCCAAAAAGATATACTGTATACCATTACAGCCAATACGTCTTGAACTCTCATTAGAAATCAAGACGATTAAACTGAAGCTGTCATACATTGGACACTTCGCGAAATTACATAATCATTGCAAAAGAAGGTAGTACTCAGCCATCAAAGTAGAAGGCAGTAGAAAAAACTGGGAGAAGAAACACAAGAAAGCTGGATTGATTCAGTCAGAGAAGTCACAATCCTTCAAGATCTAAGCAGAATATGAGTAGGGCTCTTGGAAATCTCTTAGAAGTCCACTATAAGCCAAAGTCAAAAACAAAGAGGAACAACAATGTACACAGATCTAATATTTCAATATTAATATCACTGCATTATGTAGATATCTTTTGTTGTATGTATTGTCGAAGGCTTCATAGCTGGAATCACTGGCTTGTTGTAGGTTTTTTGAGCTATAAGGCCATTGTTTCTGGAAGCATTCTTTCCTGACATTTCGCCTGATGATGCTTGCCATAGATGCAGGCAAAACGTCAGGAGAGCATGCTTCTAGAACATGGCCATATAACCCGAAAAACTACAACAACCCAATCATTTGTTGTGTTTCCCCATCCGCCCGTCATGTCATTAGCTGTTATTGGAGAGAAAATGTGCAGCAAGGTAACAAGAGGACATGGAAGTTCTGGTAATCATCACAGAGGTGTACGCTTCTGGTGCCTCCCAAATGCACACACTTCAGTTTTTTTGTGGCTGTTACTGAATCTGGGACTTCAAATTATTTAAAGCCCAGCCTGAAAGTCCAAAACTGCTTTTTCTGATACACAATTCCCTCTGAAACAAAGGCAAGCTGAGCACAATATGAAATTTGGGACATTTGGTTAGGGAGAAGCTCCTAGTGGACCATATGGCACATAAGGTTCATTTTCAGTAGCAACAAAAACCTGGATTTGTTTTTGTTTTTGCGTTAGCTAGTATAAAATAGCAAACTGCTTTTGCTAGCCATGCATGAAGAAGGCAAGCAAAATTTTCCAGACAGATGGCAGTCCTGGGATCAATAATGAGCCAAGTTTGACAATCACCCTTACCCTGCCTTGCATACATACAAATGGTGAGGTCACTCTAGAGGTGCTAAAGGTATCGAAGCAGTAAGACTGAACTGTGTGTCTCTGTGTTGAGTCTATGTCATTACTATTGCCAGACTATATGTCATCCAGGGTGGGGTAAAGGTAAGAAGGCTGAGGGAATGTTTTCACTTTTTTCCGCTTCTCAGCCCCCAAGGCCCAGTGGAACGAGAACAAAAGGACTCCTTCATTACTAAAATAATTTGCACAATAATAGAAATAAATAACTGCATGGCAGATTCTCTGGAGTAACCATTTCTATGTGCTTCCCTACCATCTCTGGCTGTGTGCTCATTAACAGTGAATTGAATTTGCATGCCATTTCCAGAGCCAAGGAAGGAGCATGGTATCTTATGTATAATAATAAGAACTCAAGGTTTATTGTAGGAAGAGAGGCACCAACTGGTATCCTTTGAAAAGAGCTAGCATGATGTGTAGGACCAATTCTGAATGTCCCTTATGTCACGCCTGTCCCCTTGCATTCAAGACCACTTTTCCCCTAGTCTTCATGTGATGTCAAAGGAAGAAGAACATGACTAGACCTGTGATTCTCAGGCATTCTACTCCAAGGAATGCTTTTTACAACAACCTATTTGCTGGGAAATCACATCAGGTTATTGCTCCAGGGTTGAACAAACCGTTGTTACTGGGTTTCAGTTTCCATCAGCCTCAGTCATCATAGTGATTAGACATGGATGGTGGGGTCTACAGTCCAATTATCTCTGAAGGTCCATAGTTCTCAAGAGTTTGTGGGAACTCCCATGCTTTAGTTTGTTGACCAGTCATTGTCCAAGGATGGTGAGATCTTCAGTTCAACTACTGTAAGACCCCTGTATCTGTGGGGTTAGTTAAATCTGTGGAACTGACCACTCGCTATAAAATTATCTGATTTCCAATCTCGGCATAACTTAGAGTTATGCTGAAGGACCCAGAGATTCCTCAAAAGATATCCTGTCTAGGACCATGCTGGCTCCTCCGGTGTAACTCACCTAGAAATCACCTAGAGGACCTAGAAAACACCTAGAGATGCATTTTCCCTGTGTGTGGATAAGTGAAACCATGGATATGGGTTCTGCAGATATGGAGGTCTTACTGCACATCTCTAAGTCCGCACATTGCTCAACCACCTTGGTGAAGATTGTGGGATGGTCCAGGGGCAAGTATGCCATTCATTGACCAGGTCTACCCAGTCTCACAGTTCTGCTCTCCACTGGCCATTTATCAGCCAATGGAGAACAGAGGAGCAATGTAAAACTACTTATTCTCAGTCTTGGGGCTGCTACAAGGACCTATTGCATACTAATACAGATTAACACATCTCTGTCTTTTATTTCTACTAGCTTGTTTCCTACACTGGAATTCCATAATGTTTGTGTGTATGTCTTCAAATTGCCTGTCAGCTTATAATGACCGCATGAATTTCACAGTGATATTTTAGGGAAATGCAAAAATACAAAATGAGGGACACAAGAGCAGTATGTGTGAAAAATATCTTGGAGTCCTTGTGGACAAAAAGTTAAACATGAGCCAACAATGTGATACGGCGGCAAAAAAAGCCAATGGGATATTGGCCTGCATCAATAGGAATATAGTGTCTAGATCCAGGGAAGTCATGCTCCCCCTCTATTCTGCCTTTGTTAGACCACACCTGGAATATTGTGTCCAATTCTGGGCACCACAATTGAAGAGAGATATTGACAAGCTGGAATGTGTCCAGAGGAGAGCGACTAAAATGATCAAGGGTCTGGAGAACAAGCCCTGGGTATGTTTAGCCTGAAGAAAAGAAGGCTGAGAGGAGACATGTAAGCCATGTATAAATATGTGAGGGGAAGTCCTAGGGAGGAGGAAACGAACTTGTTTTCTGCTTCCCTGGAGACTAAGACGTGGAACAATGGCTTCAAACTACAGGAAAGGAGATTCCACCGGATGGCCCATGAGGTCTCTTCCAATGATTCTATGATTCTAGACCACAAATACTCAGAGGTGTTGCCACTTCCTTCCTTAAAAATACAGAACTTACAGTTCTGTAGGCTTTCAGAACATGGTATGCATTGGCAGACTTCCAGCCAAGTATTAACCAGGTCTGGCCCTGCTTAGTTTCCAAGATCAGACAGGACCTGGTGCCTTCAGGGTAGTTAGGAAATAAATGAATAAATAAATTCAGAGGCATGGTTTTATCAGATTCCAATGTGTCCTCTGCAGTAGCAAATAAACAACAAAGAGTGCTATTACACAGACATACAGTGTAGCATGAGGTATTGTAGACTGGAGCTTAATTCAATCTGGTGCACATACTGGTTTCCTAACTTACTAGGTGTATATACACAGATGAGTTCAAAGATACAGACTGAGCAAGGGGTGCAAGACAATACATGAAATAACAGCAACTGTGTCACATTTCTGACTGGTGCACAAATGAATAAAAGACCCCATCAGGTTCAGCTTGACCTGCACCCAGCTGGTGGTAAATTAGCATTGCAAGATAACATGAACGTATCAAGTGGAACAATTAACTTTCTGCGGTGCGCAGGCTGTTCCCCCAGTGTTTGTCGAGTCCAAACTCTACACAGTATCATAGTTGCGAGCAAATTCTTCTAACCCCCATTTCTAGCCATTTCCAGGCACTGTAGCTTTAAAGCGTCTGAACGTGAGCTTGCTTAAACTCAATCCGATGAATGCGGCGGCTGACTTGACCTACTTTGTGTGTGCCTATACAGTAAAGGGAATCATCTAGCAGTAACTTGAAGCCACCCCCTTTTTTAAAAAAAATGTTTGCAAGCCCAACATTACAAGTCCACTGTGGATTTGGTTCCCCCAAAGTAATCTTATAAACGCCTTTCCTTGATGGGCTGCCCTAGAAGGGAAATTCTCACTAGCTGCCTCTGCTTCGAGTGTGAATTGCTATATTATTGTAGGTAAATAAAAAGGGAATTCTGTGTTAATATTCTTCCATAGGAGCTATTGGTGCCATTTGTTTTGTGAGCTCTGTTCGCTGCAGACAGTTGAAATTGGCTTTAGGGTAGTGCCATGTCTTGTAAGCCTTCATTCAGTAGGTTTTCTCCATTCACCCATTTCACTTCACATAGTTTGTCTCGGTGTCTGCTCTCATTTCTCTTTCACATATTAGCAGCTGGGATGGATGGGATTTTATCTAAATTAGAATCTACAGACACTGCCTATTTCAGTTCACCAACACTGATTCTTGCTTATCTGGGTTCCCCCCTCCCCAACTTCTAAAGATAGTAAAATTGGGGGAAGCATTGGCAGGGACAAAGCAAAATCTTCCGATCTTTGTGTTACTCAGACAGCCAACATCTCTAGAAGGAATGGGGAAGGATATTGGGAGAGACAAATTAAGGAGCAACCTCAAGGCATGAGAAAGGCAGGCTTATTCAAAGCGATGGGGAAGGTGTATGTATGCAGTGTTTTCCCTAGTACTTGCCATCAGTTACAATGCCATCGTTGCAAGATTGATGCTCGGTTTGATGTGGTAATGAAGCATTGATCACAGATGTGGGGGGAAGAGGGGGGTTGAGAAAGGGAGTGTAAGAGAGAGAGAAAAGAGAGAGAGATGAGCTACCCTTTGCTCATTCATTATTTTTTATCTCCTAGCCGTGGAAGACAGAAAATTGTTCATAGGCATGGTTTCGAAGAAGTGTAATGAGAACGATATCAGGGTGATGTTTTCTCCGTTTGGCCAGATAGAAGAATGCCGAATCCTCCGGGGACCAGATGGGCTGAGCAGAGGTGAGTGGAGCAGTCTATTAAACCCTCTTCTTTTTAAGTGCTAATTGGAGCTGGGAGATGCAGCCGGGCAGGGAAGGAGGGGAACCGAGCACCGAGCCACGGTTGGCAGCTACAGGCTGTGCTTGAAGACATGCCACGTGACAGGCATAACCCTGTTCATACACGCACACACACACACATGAAAATAGCACCTTTTAATTTAAGAGGTTTTCTATATCAATGTAATAATTAATGTCCACTGGGTCCTTTCTCTCATAGTTCACAGGCTCTGGCACGAGGCAATATGTGTTGCGATACATTGCACCCCTTGTGAAATGTTTGTAAATATTGTCCATTTAGTTCTCCAAATTTTGCTCTGTAAGAGTGTATAGCAACTAATTACTGTATGTACTCATGTATAAGTCTATAGAGATTTTTAGTTTTTAAAATCAACCCAAAAAGCCTCTTATCACACAAGGATTCTGAGAATAGGAGCAAAGGGCACTAGCATTTCCTCTCTCTGCAGAATAACCCTCAACTAAACCATGAGTCCTATCAAAATCCATAATTTTGGCCCCCAAACCCCCTCCTGACTTGTACACGAGGTCAACTTAAACAGAAGAATATAGGGTAGTAGTTACACTGTAGAGAATATGACGGCACATTTAGGCACAATTGAATTTTCTCCTTCTTCCATTCAATGCTGATATTTCAGCAGCAAGCTTCACAAAAGCACTTCTTCATCTGCATGGTCACTCTTGAGTTTTGGTTCTTGATGACACTGCAGTATAATAGAATATTCTGAGCAGGCCTTTATATTTCCCAACTGGATAATGTTTTCTGCTGATTTTCAGTGAACTTATTGAGGGCCAAGATCCTCCATCACTGACTTAGTTATGAATGTGTAACTAAGTATCACAGTGGTTCTCAACCTGGGGTCCCCAGATGTTTTTTGGCCTACAACTCCCAGAAATCCCAGCCAGTTTACCAGCTGTTAGGGTTTCTGGGAGTTGAAGGCCAAAAACATCGGGGGACCCCCAGGTTGAGAACCACTGAAGTATCATCTCCTGACCTGACCTAACAAACCTACTTTGACAGCCAGCAGCTACACTGAGCCATGGAGGTTTGTTCTGGCTCAGGTACAGAAGGAGGACAATTTCAGCTTCTCTTGCCAGCATTCTCTGGTATGATGGAAATTTGCAATGGGGTCCAATTCTGATTGTCACTCCAGAGATGGCTGATGGGAAGGAGCTGGAAAAGGTCCTGCTGAGCCCTGATCACCAGCAGAAAAGTACTCCATTTCTTGGAGCAGCTCCCTGGAGTTTAAGGTGGAATATGGGGAACATTTACATTTGTGGCAATATAGCCACAACCATGAAAACATGGTATAATTGAATATGGAACTGTGACAGATCCATAACTCTAGGTTAAAAGGCCAGTTTTGATTTTTTAAAAACAAAAAACAAAAAGATTTTTTAATTGCTAATTGACTTGTTCATATTACTTATGCTTTTGCCGGAGCCCCCGGTGGCACAGTGGGTTAAACCCCTGTGCCAGAAGGACTGAAGACCGACAGGTCGCAGGTTCGAATCCAGGGAGAGGCGGATGAGCTCCCTCTATCAGCTCCAGCTCCTCATGCAGGGACATGAGGGAAGCCTCCCACAAGGATGATAAAAGATCAAATCATCCGGGCGTCCCCTGAGCAACATCCTTGCAGACGGCCAATTCTCTCACACCAGAAGCGACTGGTGAGCAACCGGAGCCCCCGGTGGCGCAGTGGGTTAAACCCCTGTGCCGGCAGGACTGAAGACCGACAGGTCGCAGGTTCGAATCCGGGGAGAGGTGGATGAGCTCCCTCTATCAGCTCCAGCTCCTCAAGCGGGGACATGAGAGAAGCCTCCCACAAGGATGATAAAACATCAAATCATCCAGGCGTCCCCTGGGAAACATCCTTGCAGACGGCCAATTCTCTCACACCAGAAGCGACTTGCAGTTTCTCAGGTCACTCCTGAGACGACAAAAAAATGCTTTTGCTCTTTAAAAATATCCCTCAAATTCCTCCAAAAAGCAATAAGTAAAGGTAATAAGTGCTATTAGTCCCATAGGGTATATACAGTCATGCAACACCATTACAAACACACACGTCTATTATTTGCTTTCAAAACGAACAGCTTTGTCCCCTCACTAGCATAAAAAGTAATACACAACAGATAACACCATGACTTGTAATGCAGTATTCCCAAGCTCTATAGATTTGTAGCATGGCATAAATATTTATCAGTTGGTCACTGTTAAAAGGAATTTTGGGTAGAACAAGTATGTCCCTACTGCATATTTTTAAATGTAATGCATGCAAGGTAAGATATAATAGTGTACAATTCAGGGGGAAATTGGCAACAATAAAAATGGTACAACAGCAGTGTGATATATGGCTATTGTTGGGCATGAATGAAAAAATAACACAATCTGGTGTATATCTGCTTAGGCACAAGTCCCATTGAGTTCACTGAAGCTTATGTATAGGACTGTATATCAATCCCATGTGTTCAACTATGTAGTCTTTCCTATCTGGGAAATAGTTCCTGTAAATATGTATATACTCCTATATATTATAGTTATTGTGATTGTTGACATTTACGGATGTTAAGAATGCATGAAGGATATCCTGACATTTATTGATTAATGTTGGCATCTAGTCCATTAATTACACACCTAGTGCTACAAAGGGATTTATCCTGATTTCAAAAGCTTTCTGCAAACAGTGAGTTGAGACATTTATGAAAAGCTATGAGGTAGACACAGGCAGGAAGGAAAATGAACTAGGAGAACATGAGATATGTCTTCTTTGTTTTTGTGCTGGTCCCATTCACTGATGGCTTCAGCAGCAGTATCCATCCTCATCCCACCAGCCTGGAAAGAAGATCCCTTGCCTTGTTTACATACAAAGGAGATTTAACACGCCATATATCTAAATCCTGAAATAATCAAGTCCACATGTCAAAATTATGTGTCGGGCAAAATTAAGAATGACTCCTCTATCTTTAATGGTTGTGTAAAACAGATTTTTTGTAGGTTTTATGAGAAGCAGCACCTGCTGACATTCCCTCCTCTATACAACCATTAATGGTTGAGGACCACTCTCTAGTTTTCAGACTGATTTTTTCTCTCTAACGGGACTGTATATCCCATAATACAATTATTGCATTTGAATGGTGGAAATCCAACATATCTGAAAAATATCAGGTTGAGAAATTATGTGCCAAAGTATGTGCTTTCATCTCATAACTTGTTGAGTCAAGCATTGTTTTTGAGCGACCTCTTCATTTCTTTTCCCTGAACCAACGTATACTCTTTCATTCACCCTTTATTAGTTAGTGTTAGAGTATTACTGGAATGGCTATTCAAAAATATTTGAGAAACCCTAAAAAGAAAAACTTTTGTAAGATTCTTCACAGTTTGGAACTTATCCTACACAACATTTGTATTTATTTATTTATTTACTTACTTCACTTCACTTGTATACTGCTCTTCTCAGCCAACGGCGACTCAGAGTGGTTAACAACCAGTATCAACAATACAGTACAAAATCATTAGTCATTTAAAACAGTAATATCAATTAATTAACATCAGGACATCAATACAACAATACAGGAAAACAACAATCCATCACGTCTCATCAATAGAATCAGCATCCGATCTCGTTGTCCATTAATCCATATTCCAGTAATCAATCAATTGCACTGCTTAGTTGAAAGCCTGTTCGAAGAGCCAGGTCTTCACTCTCTTCCTGAATGCCAATAAGGAGGGGGCCGATCTAATGTCTGTAGGAAGGGCGTTCCACAGCCGGGGGGCCACTACTGAGAAGGCCCTGTCTCTCGTCCCCACCAGGCATGCTTGTGAAGCCGGCGGGACCGAGAGCAGGGCCTCCCCAGACGATCTTAACGTCCTAACTGGTTCATAGGAGGAGATGTGTTCGGACAGATAGGTCGGGCCAGAACCATTTAGGGCTTTAAAGGCTAAAGCCAGCACTTTGAATTGTGCCCGGTAGCAAATTGGCAGCCAGTGGAGCTGGCGCAACAGAGGAGTTGTATGCTCCCTGAGTGCCGCTCCGGTTAGCATCCTGGCTGCCGATCGTACACAGTTTTGACTATAACAACAGCCTTTTATGTGTAGATAACAGCATTTTCTGCATGGAAAATAATATTTAAACACAGAAATATATGTTCTTGTGCATAAAATGTTGTTTTATGTGCAAAAAAATTAAAATTCATTTTGCTTAAAATTCACACAGGGTAGATATTTACGAAAACAGCTTTTCTGCACAGAAAACTGAAAAAAATTTGCATAGTACCAGCATCTACGTTGATACATTAATATTTTTGCAATGAAATGCTATTTTCTATGCAAAGAATTCTGTTTCCTGCCCAAAAAGTGTTGTTTTCTTTACAAAATAGCCACATACAAATTTTTGCACAGAATAAGCAGAATTGCTAAACAAGTGGGTTTTTTCAGACTTTCTCACAGTTGGAGGAAAATAGCTGAACTCACTGCAACCTTCAAGAAGAATTTAATGAAGAACTGCATCCCTGATAATGCATTCATTTCAAGTAGGCAACACTGATCCACTGCAAGTGTAGCAATAAATGGCTGCCTATAAAGATCAGTCAGTGAATCAGCAGTGCAGAATTCTTGATCAGAAATAATTTGAGTGGCTGATAAAAATGCAGACTATTTTCTGAACAACTGACCCAACACAATATTTCTGTCTCTCTACTGTCAAGGAAGACGCATATTTTGTAAAGATTGGTGGTAGAGCACATGTTTTGTATCCAGAAGCCAAGGAGACCAAGTCCAGTCCTGTTTAAATGATCAAATATCCAACAATCCCACTCATCTCTGAATCTCCCTAAACTTAATAAATGTTTGAACCTCTTGTCCTTGTAGTGTGGTACTAATTAAATAAAGAAATGTTTCTATTCAATCAAATTGCTGCTTAATGTATTGTCGAAGGCTTTCATGGC